TGGTATGTATTGTCCACAAAACTGTTGATATCATCCACAAGTAAGTGAATGTCGGAAATGAACATCACTTTCGTTGCATTCAAAGGCACATCACTTGTACTCCAATCGCATTGTCTGATGTGAAACATTATAATAAGTTTATTTGCGTTTATAATGACCACAATTAATACGACTAAAGTGAAGGCCAATTGCAAAATGGCTTTTCTCCGCACGTTTAATGCCATCACAAGAATTTATTAATAGATAATATTCATGAAAACATTACTACATATCAACAAAAATAGTTAACACTTTTCGAAGTCAAACCAAATTCTGGTAAACATTTTGCTGTTGTGTTGTCAATGGTTTTGAGCAACAAAGCACTGGACACTTAGGAAATTAAATTTACTAAACATATTAAATTAATAAGTTGTATATGCGGGTACTGGATCAATTAAATCCAGACATATGGTAAGTCGAAATAAAGTGGAAAAGTAGACCTTGAAGTGAGTCCTCCAAAAAAAAAATAAAGGCTGGACCGTACAGTCTATTTCAGTACAATGTATAATGAATAGTAATGCAGTACTTCATCTGAACTAACTTTTTAGAAATAGAGTAAAACTGGTTTTCATCCAATCTATTGATGCAGAAACCACTCACAAAAGCTATTGTATTTTGTATCATACTTCAATTTGTCACTTGTTATTGATTTTTAAAGGTGTAAGCACAATAATTGTAAATTTAATACACTTTGACTTAAAGTTAGTGTGATTGAAAACACACAGTTAATACTAAACTTGTGGCTAAATTCAAAACGATTTCATTTTGTTATACATAACTTACTATACAATATATAGTATACATTAATTCGTATTTGTCATATGAATACACCATTAAAAATAACAAATAATTTAATACTCGTACAAAACTTTTTCATCAATTTGTTTCCCACAAAACTATGTAAACATTTTGGGAACATTTGATTTTTATTTAACATAACTTCACTGCCTAATAATGGTAATCAATAGATCTACAGCATAGGCCGGTGCTGTACGGCACAGGTAGCGGTAGTCGTGGTAACTTATTCCTTAGAGCATAAAAATTCATATTTAAAAAATACTTTTTGAATGCAATTCCTGTTGTTGGGCTGGTAGTCAATTCATGTCACGATGAGATGACTATTGTGCTATGAATTAAATAATACACCAATAATTATGTTTATATAAATAAAATTATAGTCATTTCCGTAGCTTTATTAATACAGCAAAAATATTCCGTTGACTTAACCATATTATAAAAGAAATAAAACTTCCCATATATAAGTAATTCAATAATAAATTGCATTTAGTTTGTATGTTATAAATTATTACAACACATAAATGCATTTATATACTGTATTTGCAGCTATTAATAGTATTATAAAGAATTCATGAATTTATACACATTTTTCTTGTGGTCACATAATTTTGGAAACAATTTATGAAATTGACAAACATTTTGCAAATTAAAATGTTAAATAAATCACAAAGTTTTCAAAATAAACCATTTTATTAATTAATTAATTAATACATCATGTTAATGCAATAGGAGCAAACAAAAAATTAACATAAATTCGTAAATAATTTATAATTCAAAAACATTAATTAGAATTTTGTAAACAAATTCAATATTGACTAGGATCTAACAAAAACTATTTATCTTAACATAACGAAAAAACAAGTAATTTGTGTATAATTTGTGTTTATTTACAAAGTAATCGACGCTTTCATTATATCTAAGGTTAATAATTTTCTAAATTAAAAGTAAAATATAATTAATTAATTAATTTGAAATTTCCGAGAAATACAGACAATTAATAGGAGTATTGAATGCTTTCTCACATAATAGACATCAAGAAATAAATCGATATTTTTTAAATTAATAAATAGTTTCTTAGAATTTAATTATTCTGTGATAAGAATAATAATGAATTAATTGTTAATTAATTTTGTCAACAAAAAGTAGTATTGAATATATTTAATTTGATTACCATTTATATTAATATTGTTTTAGTTCTTATGAAAATAAAGTATAATTATTGAAACTATAATTAGATATTGTATGGATTACAATTAAAGGTATTTTTGATTATTTCATAGAATAACTCAAACTTAACATATTATAGTCAACTCAATGATTAAAGAGCCATTTTTAAATACCAGATAAAAGTTAAATGATAATTAAATTAAATTAATTTCAAATAACATCTTAATTAGTGTTTTTGAGTAACATAATAATCATAAAATTGAATCAAAATACACTTAATATAATTATATTGTTTTTTAAATATAATTGTTTTAGACACATGTTTTCGCATAGTATTCAGACTCCGGGATTAGGCAATAGTGAGTTCATAAGGGATCTAAAGTAAGGCGTTTGAGTGGGATATGCGGGCGAATGGAGTCCAATGGGTGAGTGCGAGTGTTTGGGCGACTGTCCCGCCGGACCTGTCGGTTGACCAGAACGGACAGTGTATAAGCGGTCAGTGACTGAGTCATACTCACGGGTGTCGTCGTCCTCGTGCAGCAACTGATAGGTCGGCGACTGAGTTATGTCAACGTTTAGCGGTATCTGGTGTTGACTCCTGTGCGCGGCTATGGGCTGAACCATCGGCGCTGACACGACCGGTCGTGGCGTTTGCGGTCGACTTAAGAAACGACAAATCAATAAAGACACTGATCTGGGATTAGTTTGCCTCTACTCTAACCACTAGTTTCAGCACAAATTACGGACACAAAACCAAACGCACGACTCGTTATTGGGGAGGAAAAGCGTAGCCATAATAACACAGTGAATGAGAATTGGTTTGCTTTTTATCTTTTTTTAGTTATTTCGTTGTGATTACATAAAAAGGGATTAAAGGGTTTAGTCGAGAGCGAGACAAATGAGATGAAAGAAATATGAAGTAAATATCAAATCTAATTAAATGAATAACGAAATCCGGTTTCAATCAATAGTGAACTCAATTATATTCTGTTATATTCTGTGTTATTGCACGAAATTCTTGCGACAAATAAGTCTTAATAATTATCCATTAAAATTAGGAATAAAAAGATATTTAGAATAAAACTCTTATAAAAGTGAAAAGAATTTATACTTTTTATGTCTCGCAAAACTACATTATATGTGTTTTGGACTCTTTTCAAATTACAATTTTTAGACTAAAAGCAAGTAATGGCAAAGATTTTTGGTGTTTATTATCTTTTCATTAGAAGAGTGAGCTCTTAGTGACATAATTTCCTAAACAACAGTAAACCCTAACTAATACTAAAGCATACCGTTCCCTCTACTCTATAATAACTTTCCCTTTCAATAAGAATAAGTTCTATAAATTATAAGTGAGCGACAAATTCCTATTCAATTTATACAAGAATTCAAAAATCCTTTAATTATAGTGAAAATCTATGTAATAAGTGTTTTTTATAATGACAGAGAGATAGACATAAATGGATAAAAGATTACAAACAGATAGTGAAGAATAATATGACGGATACGACAAACACAATAAAATAACAATTGTATTTAATACTGAAACACAAATATTATAAGTGTCTATTTTTTGTATATAACGGTAATATTAAAATATTGGATTTCATACAGAATATGAGGTATTTGTACATATCTTACAGCATCTCATATATGACTTCCCGTAAGACATCTTTGAGTAAAAGACGAAACGACCGATCGTTATGTGTTAGTCATATGCGGTCTAATGGATGGCTGGCAACCGATCGCATATATCTACAGTTAATTTGTGGTCTCTTTTATTATTTTCATACTATATTATAAATACTGTATTTTATTGCGGCTATAAATGTATACTAAAAAACTAAGTTATAGTTTCATATTAATTTGTTAGGCTATTCAACAAAACAATTATTTTTTGATGTATATAATCCTTACGGCATTAAGACATTGGCCACGTTATCATTGCTGTACACATTGAGCGGTGAATTATACTGCAGATGTACGACACCAGGGTTATTTTGCTGCACCCCCTGTCCATACTATTTACAAAAGACAGAGTATTCAAATTAAATTCAATACGCTAAGCATTTAAGTGTAATCAAGTACCCTGTTCATGACTTCTTGCAATTTAGGCGGATTAGGATTAATAATAGTTTTGGGGACGTCGTGCCAGGAGGGCCCCTCCATGTGGCGCATATACGAGCCGGTGGGCCAATCACGACGTACTTTTGGCTTGGGCTCAATCAATGGCAGTGTGCGGTACGTCTGTCAACGCAATCATATATACAAATCGAAAGTGAAATCTTTGAAAACAAACTTTTTTGGCAACTCTTGGCATTAGTTTTTATACAATATGTTACAAACGGCTCATAATTTTGGTATTGAATTATAAATATAATGAAATTGTTTTTTGGGGAATGGGATCAAATGGATGGTGTGCTGACCTGTTTATTGATAGCCCACTGTTCTCTAGCCTTCTCTTTCAGATACTCCTGAGTATTTGATTCGGGTTTTCGTATGGATGAGTCGTAATCGAGATGAATGTTGGGAATAACGCCTCTCTGGGTGGGCACTGGTCTATAAGGCGTATGACTGGATGACGGCTCAGAGATATAGTGAGGAGACAGAGATCTCGAGGGCGAGAGTGGCGTAGCTTTTGTCGAGTAAACCGATAGAAAAATACGGAAGAATTTCATATAGTTTTTAAAGACTTGATAATGAGTTTATGTAAACAGTATTATGTAAACCACTAATCCGTTTGCAAGGGTTTAGGGAATTGTTGACAAATACTTTGTTTAGTCTATTATATTGACAGGAATTGTGTGACTATAGTACCAGAACTCCTTCCGGTTTGCTGTGGGCGCTGCACCTGAACGTTCAGTGTATTGGCCGTCGTATTGATTATATCCCTGGCCTGCGAGTGGGTCATAGGCGGCGATGTTGTCGAATGGTTGCCCACATTCAACAGGATATCACCCGGTCGGAGACCGGCGTCTGATGCAGGACTGCCTGACTGTACCTATAATTACATCATTGTTTACATCATTAGGAGATTTTTATAACAAAATAAAACATATAATAAACAGAAGTGAACTCAATTAATAATTAATTAAATTTTCCATAAATAAGCTAATAATTCTTGAATATGTGGAATATACAAATTAAAAATAATGTATTATTTTAGAAAATTAACATTTTATTTAAAAAAATATCAATTGAAATAATTTGCGATTTTTATAAAAAGTTTGAACGCTTAACTCTTATTAATAATTAAATAGTAATTTTGGGTGAATTTGTGTCAACGTCTTTTCCAAAATAAATATTTTAAGAATTATAAAAATATTTGTATTTAACTTTCATTTTGAATTTTATTGGAATTTTTTAATGAATCCAATGAATACATTGAGTACTTGTTTGTGAATAGTTGAGAGAATTTTGACATAAAGTCTCACGAAATACAGATCCGATATCACAGTATCAGTCATTCAGACGTTACAAAAATGAGTTGACTCTAAAAATAACATTAAACTGCTTACCATTATCATAGAATTTTGAAATCTCGATTCACATTTAAATCTTTGATAGATTTGAAGCAAAGTGTGTGTGTGTGAGAGAGAGAGAGAGAGAGAGAAAGAAAGAGAGAGCATACACACATTTCAATATAAGCCATATACAGTATAAACCAACCGTAAAATGTTTAGAGAGAAAGCAAATAAAGAATGAGTTATTGTTTGCTAAACTTATTTCAAAATCCAATTTTGCAAAATATACTTAAGTTTAGAGAGACATAAATATAAGAATTTTTAAAATTAAAAATTGTGGTAAGATATTTTTTTAATATAAGATATGTTAAAAATTTCCTTAATTTTTAGATTTAAATGTCAAATAATTATAACATTAAGGTATAAAATAAACAAATATGCAAATGAATGATTGAAATGGTGTTTATTTATTAAAATTTGGTTTTAGAGTTCTAATTATAAAATAACATTTTTAGTATTTGTTGTAAATATTTAGACTTGTAATCAATGTTAAAACCCACACACTTTGATGTCTAATATATTTTCGGACATTTATCTAATGATAATAAATAATTTTAAATTTATAGTACAGAACATTTAAAAATTTTAATTGAGATTCAATCGTTATTTGTTTAAAGTGTTAATTGAGCTATATTTATGGATTCAATTAGATAATTATTTAAATAAATGAGTATATTAAAATTAATTAAAATAATTTCAAGATTCTTAACATTTAAATATTTTGATCTCCAAAGTTTTCATTTATCATTTCATTATGGTATATTTATTTATTTTCATTAATTAGAATTATTTAAAGATAAATATAAAATCTATTTATAAAAATAAGCAAAATTAAAAATGTTACATTTACAAATATAAAATAATGAGTTAATCAAAAAATAATTATAATTACAATAATAAATGTTATTATAAAGTATATTATTAAAATAGAATATAACACAACCAGAATCCAGAATAATCACACATTCATTCATAAATTGTCAAAATAAATTGAAAGCCATAATTGAAAAGTATTTTCAAAATGTGTTAAATTCAATGAACACATTTTTAACGCATTACTGTATTCATTATTAATTAAACATTTAGTCTATTTATGAATAATTATTCATTTAAAGAATTTTTGCTAGAGTTATCAAAATTTTTCGCTAAATACTTTTCAATAGTTTTAAAACTATTTGTCTTTGTGAAGAAATAAGTGAACATTTTTTGTTTGAATAGAAGTTTAGTTTGAAGTGACATTTAGTTTGAAGAGATTTTTAAAAAATATTGATTGAAAGCATGTTTTTAGTTGTAAATTAGTTTTGTATTGCAGAGATTACTGTCAAAATTCTGCGTAAAGTTATTCTACAAGTTATCAATAAAAAAAAGTAATATGAGTTTTAAAATGTAATAAATTTTCCTATTTCTCATCAGTCTACTTTATAGAAGTAAATTTGAAATTATTATTTATTAATAAATTCTTATTATTCTACAAATAATATGTGTATATAACTTTTAAAATTTAATGATATTTAACTTATAAATATTTTATAATATTGCATTGTATAAATATTTATTAAAAATTAAATTTCTAGGCTCAGTGAATACAATGACTACAATATTAATCAATATGTTGGATATAACTATAATGAAAACTTACTTTTTGGACATACAGTGGGCTGTGATTGACATCTGCGCCCCCGACTAGAGTAAACCCCCACGGAATACATGAACCGTCGCGATATAGTGTCGTATAAAATAACATTGTATTTCACTTTACATACAAAAAGTTATGAAATTTCTTTTATCACTTGGTTTGATAATGAATGAAATTTATTTAGAAAAAACCTAAACCCTAAAAATTGTTAACAAAATTGTGATAATGATAATCCATTTATTGAAATATAAGTAAAGGATTGATACGAAAGGATTGCTTCACAGAATATTCTGATGGCATCCCAAATGGTGTTATCAGCGATGGAATTGTGAGGTTCAGTAGTGGCACTGGTATCTGGTTTTTGTTAAGGGATTGAATTGATTATAAATAGAAACTGTTGTTAACACTGATATTATAGCGGATACAGTCAAACATCCAATTTATTATTATTAGGCATATTGGTAGTGAGGCATTTACTGATTTACAGCACATATAAACGAATTTATTGTGTTTATGTCATCAGAATTTTCTGAATAAATAAACAGTTCAATGCATAAAATATTTTACACCATTTCTACTTTTCTTTTGTCTAAGTTTTAATACGTTAACAAAATGTCATTTTTTTGTTTTATATCATCAATTGTTCACAGATTTCACACTAACATTGTTTGTCACTAGTTATACCTCTTTGATATAATTAAATTCATTCATTCATTTAACTTAAATTTAAATAAATGGATAAATAATTTGCCATAAAAATATTTAGTTTAACACTATAGTGATTCAGTATATACAAACAATAAAAACCATTGGAATGTTAGTTATCAGTTATCAATGTTATTATACTTTCTATACTCATTTTCTTATGCTACAAATATAACATTATTAAATTATAAAAATCAAAATTAAGATACAACCCAAATTATTTAATAATAATTTTACATAATAACAAAAAACAATAGGTTCATGAATATCTTAACATAATCTGCAAAGAAATCTACAGTAGTTTAGGATTACTTCGCAATTCTTTCAGCAATATAGCAAATAAACAGAAATGTCTTAAAAAACAAATAATAAATAGTGTCTCAATGTCGGGCCAAATGAATCAAATGAAACATTAAAATGTGAATATGCTAATTTTGATAATTTGTGTAAACTATTAATATAAATGGAGTCAATAGCGAAAGGATTGATGTGATATTAGCCTCATTTTCTAAGATTAAAAACAAAATTCTTTTCGCATAAGAGATAAGGTCTCGATTCTTGTCTTAATATATATTTGCGGACATAAGCAGAATAATAGACTGAATGGGAAAATATTTTGTCACACAACAAGAATCGGAGTTATAAATAACAATACAGTCTATGTGTGAGGTATGTCTTATAAGTCCCGTACCCTCTATCCGTCAGCCCTTTCTCCCAAAAACCTTCATCTTTAATATAAAAAATTTATGGTTTCAGCAAAACTTTTTTAAACCCTTTTTCTAGAAATAATTTCACAAATATTTTAATGACTTATATTTGTTTCTCTTATTTTCAAAATATATTCTCAAATTTATATAAAGACATCGTTTTATTGTAATTATAGTTTTAATTGTAATCAATAAAGAATTAGTATTATATAGGTTTAGAAACTGATGTGTAAACACAAATATCAATTGTTAATCAAACACAATTGTTATAAATTTAATGTGTGTATATAAATGTAATTATTTATTAAATAGACAGAATCAGTTTAGATTATTGTCACGGCATTATTAAATGTTTAAGATTATTCTCTACTTAAATAGATATATTTTATAATTTAGCTTTTATAAAATTAATAATTAGATTTTATAGACAAATAGAATAATAAATATTTTTTGACAATTTCTAAACAAATATTTCATCATATAAAAGATTTACCATGAATGTGTTAGAGTGATACAAAAAATAAAACATGAATTAATAATTTATACTCTCAAATAAATGCTTTTAAATGATAAATCCGCTAAAATTTATAAAAAGATTCAAAATCAACAAAAATGCATTTTAGGCTTATTTTAAAAAAGTTGTGCTAAAATATACATTTCATAGGAAAATATATAATAAATTCAAGAATATTCTAAAAGCGATTCTAAAGAATATAATTCAATATCAACTAACAATTCGTAAACAAGTTTACATAATATTAAAATAAGATTAATGTTTATATTAATATTATAAGCTTATACATGTATTATACAGATGTAGTATGTAAAAACCCCGACAAACCTGTGGACTTCTAGGCAATGAGTTGGTATCGTATGAATAAGTAGGCGATGGCGCCCACACCTGAGTGGGTGAGGGAGCCGTTGGTTGCCATATACACGACTGGGGTCTCGGTCTCGACCGATATCCTTGCGGTGGTCGCCAGAAACCGGGTCTTTCAGTGCTCATTGTAGCCATAATTAGACGCTATTATCCTATTTCCAAGACATTAGATGTGTTTACTTAATAAATTATATTAATGTAGATTTGTTTATATAGAAAAACATACTATAAATAGAAAATATTTTTTAACAGAATCTTATAGGTTAGCCTATGGCATTTTAGTAGTGATCAATGTTTTATGAATATATTCCTTAATAATGAATCACATCAATGGCTATATACTGTATTTATATTATTGTACATTTCATCCATTATAAATGCAGTAAAATATACTCCTTTTTATATTTTTGTTTGCATTAAATAAATAAATGCTCCAGATATTAGTTTAGTTCAAACAAAAGAATTTTCATTTTTGGACAAATTCTTAGCTTTTAATTATTTAAAGCTTTGGATCTTATTTATGTTAAGCAAAATGAGGATTAAGATATATAATATGATATTAAGATATATTATTAAAACAATAAACTCATAGCAAATAACAATTGTAAGATACTTAAATTTAATGTACATATTTATGTTTCGTAGGTTTAATGTAATTTTGATAGTAATCAATACAAAAGTATTTTAAAATAAATCAAAGCCAATATATAATAAAGTTTATACAGTACTGTATTCATAATACAATACAATGTAATAATTGTGAAACTCGATTATGTTATAAAAATGGATTAAATTATATTGAATAATAAAATATTAATATAAAACATTTTAATAGATTATCTCATAATATTTATTAAAATACTTTAGTTTATTTATAAATAGAAACATTATTGGACAGACAAATGTCAAATGAATATTTCAAATAATGTGACGGCTTTTCAAAAAATATTTTATAAAACTTAAAATCACTCACATTATGCTGAATATAAACGCAATATTTTGAAATAAAATAATCTAAAATAACATTTTTATAAAATAGTAGTTAATCAAATGTTTTAGAAATACTAGTATACTACAGTATAAAATTCAAATAGTTTATGATATAACAAGAGTTACTTAAGTTTGCAAATGGGATTCAAAACCTCCGATATGTTCATTAGTTGTGTCAATACTTGTGTAATGTCTCAATGATTTCAAACATCTAGAGTCCATTTACTCGGATCACTAACACTAACTTATATTTGTTGCAAACAAAACAATGTGAATGTTAATACTAGTAAAATGTTACACATTAATTAAATGCTTGATTTGCATTTGAATTTATTTTACTTTAGACTTTGCATTCAGTTTAAACTTATAATGAACTTTTTACATCTACAACTGCATTAGCACAAAAAGTGTAAGCAACCAAACATAATATTATTTTTAAAGCCATTAAATTAAAATTTATAACTATTAAAAATATTATATTTACCAATAAATGAGTCGAGAGATAAAACAATTGTCAAAATGGTATACAACTCGTAAAAATGAACTTTTCAAAAAGAAATACAGAAATAAAAGTAATGCAAAAAATAATTAAATCTGAAAATTCTTGCGACTTAACGATAAAATAATTATAATTAAAATATACAGTAAAAGCACTAAAACTGGTGAGACATTGAAATACCTCTCGGAGTCGAGAATTTTGCACAAAAACCAGATATTAATTAAAGTGAAGAAAAATGCTTACAGTGTATGGTAGGGGACGGGATGTGCGACACGTTTGCAATGTTTCTCTACGAGAAAAAAGTGATCGGATTTACCCCAACACTTCTGGTGAGCAAATATATCGCGAGTGGCGTAGCGTTTATGACATACCGATGCCTCTCATCTGAGAAAACATTTCAGAAATACTTTATGAGGAATCGACACAAAAAACAAATAAATTGTTGTTTCGCTTAAATCTGTTTTTACTTATGATTAAAATCTCTGACTTATATAAAAGAAAAATAAGTCACAAATTTCTACTAAAAAAACTTTTGTTTTGTTTTCGTATTAGTGTTATGTTATGCCTTAGAGTTCAATAAATTTTAACCCTAAAAATAATTTAGTTAAAATATGTAATGATAATTTTTATGCGATATAATAAATGCTTATCAATTTGTTAATTGCTTATTAGCATTATAAACATATTTTTTGAAACAATTTATCAAAAAATATTTACTCCTAAGTTTACGCCACATATAAAAATAAGAGTAAATTTCTTGGCTTTGAGTTTGATTTTATTCAGTAAATAGATTTTGTTTTCATTATTGTATTACCACTGAAATATCGCCATAAAAATGAAATCTCAAACAAGCACAATGAGCACTGATTGTTAATTTCAAATATTTCGGTTAATCTTATTTTTAAACTAGAAATTCGTGTCGAAAATGTATGTTTCGATTACTGCGAGATAAATGAACTAGATAAATGACAACTCAAATAGTCTTTGTTTTGTGTGATTTGAAATCATATCAAAAACTTATTCAATGATATTCATTGCACAAGGATTTCTACATCTATACAAATATTTTCTATATTTCTATTAATATCTATGACTTGTACTAACGATTAGGATAACAATAAAAAATCTATGCATTTGATTAACAAATTGTTTGAAGAGTTTTCAACAGATGTTTTTTGAATAATATATTGAGATAATTTATTTTTGACTCAACAAGTAAAGGGGTAATGAGATTGCGAGCCATAGATTGTGTGCCCTTTAAAGTTATTTATGAAATACATGCCATCTCATCAAATTATATGTTTTACTTGTGTTAACACTTTTTTCACTTATTAGATGAATATTTCTCAAGTTATTGGTCTCACACTATAATTAGTTATATAATTAGACATTATTTACTTATCTGGTTTTTGTTAAGGGATTGAATTGATTATAAATAGAAACTGTTGTTAACACTGATATTATAGCGGATACAGTCAAACATCCAATTTATTATTATTAGGCATATTGGTAGTGAGGCATTTACTCATTTACAGCACATATAAACGAATTTATTGTGTTTATGTCATCAGAATTTTGTGAATAAATAAACAGTCAATGCATAAAATATTTTACACCATTTCTACTTTTCTTTTATTTATAGTTTTTATACTTCTTTTGTCTAATTTTTAATACGTTAACAAAATGTCATTTTTTTGTTTTATATCATCAATTGTTCACAGATTTCACACTAACATTGTTTGTCACTAGTTATACCTCTTTGTATAATTAAATTCATTCATTAATTTAACTTAGATTTTAAATAAATGGATAAATAATTTGCCATAAAAATATTTAGTTTAACACTATAGTGATTCAGTATATACAAACAATAAAAACCATTGGAATGTTAGTTATCAGTTATCAATGTTATTATACTTTCCATACTAATTTTCTTATGCTACAAATATAACATTATTAAATTATAAAAATCAAAATTAAGATACAACCCAAATTATTTAATAATATTTTTACATAATAACAAAAAACAATAGGTTCATGAATATCTTAACATAATCTGCAAAGAAATCTACAGTAGTTTAGGATTACTTTGCAATTCTTTAAGCAATATAGCAAATACATAGAAATGTCTTAAAAAACAAATAATAAATAGTGTCTCAATGTCGGGCCAAATGAATCAAATGAAACATTAAAATGTGAATATGCTAATTTTGATAATTTGTGTAAACTATTAATATAAATGGAGTCA